TTTTTTTCGGAAAATTAGTTAAACAATGGAAACGGAGAAATTCGAGGAAAACGCGACGAGAGAGAGGATCATATTCAGTCGCTATGTTAACCTCTCCCGCGCCCTCCATTAGGTTTCGAATTGTCACCAGGTGACAATGAGAGACCAATGGAGAGGCGACTGCTGTAAAAAAATCTATAAATTTGTGCGACTCAAGAGACGAAGGTTCTTGGTTCGTAGTTTTTGGTTCTTGGTGTTTGGATACGTAGTGTGTCGTCTCCTGGACGGGCGTGCTCCAGATCTTAGAAAAAAGGGACATTTTGGAACATCGTGGAAGCATCGTTCTCGGGGTGCTCCTAGCAATCGACAGATTTGTCGGATTGTCCGCGAGAAGCCGCCGAAAGCCGTAATCAACGCCCCGGGGCCCACCGAGCGTTTCACCGACAGCGTCCATCCACTAGCGACGAAAACCGACTTTTACGAACTTTATTTCGAACTTTATCCGTGCGCTTTGGGGTGCTACCTCGTCTAACAAGTAATTTGTAAGGAAAATTTTTATGTTTAATAAACGGTTACATGGTAAACCTGTCTCAGGCAGTCAGTCTGTGCCCACACGACAGAAAGAACCGCTCGGCTGTCGAACACCTCACCCCTAATCGGCTGACCTCACAGTGGTGTCATTGAAGCGGGATTGTTGTGCCCAACGTTACACTGGTGGGAAAAGGTAGTAATACCGTCCGCCAGGATCTCGAGGAAGCCGATACGAAATGGTGGGAGTGAGGAAGAAAGGTGCATAAGAACATGGCCACTGAGACAGGCGCCCCATCTGCCCCATCGCAAATGCGGGAGGTAGGCGGAGGTTCAATCGCGGCGTTAGGGGGGATGATTCCCACCTTCAACGGTGAAAGCGAGCGAGTCACCGACTTTTTCGATACATTGGATGAAGTAGCTGGGCTAGCGGGATGGACAAAGCGACAAAGTTTAAGCATTGCAAAATGTAAATTGGCAGGCGTTGCCAGAGATTTCGCATGGAGAGACATGCACATGAAAAGCGTCGGGGAATACGACGAGTTTAAGCGGTTAATGGTGGAGAGATTCGATCGCGTACCGTATTCAATGCGAGTGCAGAAATTCCACGCTTGCGTCCAGCGGCGCGAGGAAAATGTTCAGGAGTTTGCAGTCAGGCTACAAACTCTAGCGAACGCGACGACTATCGAACACACGGGAACGACAGATCAGGAGCGCGCAATCATAAGACAATGTCAGCAACGGGAGCTGGATGAAAAGCTTCGCGTTCAATTTTTATACGGGCTAAACGAGAAGCATAAGCGGAACGTTATGGCACGTTTTCAGAAGCGTTGAGGGTAGCGATAAGAGAGGAAACAATCGAACAGCTGACAGGGAAGAATAGGAATTTTGTTGCGGGCGTAGAGGAAAAGCAAGATAATCACGCAGCAAAAGGGGAGAACAAAAACATGGACCAGGAACCCGCGCTTGACGCGAAAATTAATCAAATTACGCGGCAACTTGAAAAGTTGGGAAAACAAATCGAGAATCAGTCCTCAAAAGGACCGATAAGTAACCCACGAAAGCAGGGATGCACGCAATTTAGGCGAAACCCCCAATCCTCCACAAGAACCAATTTTGAAAGAGGAAAAGCGCAGAATTATGCGAGCGGGCAGCGTCAACCGCCGCCCACGAAGTTTAATAGACCGCCAAGGAAGCGATCGGCTACACAAACTCCCGCGAGGTATTATAATCAAGCGCCCTTTTGGCAATACCGTGGACCGAATCCCTTACCCAATAGACAAATAGACAGGGAAGGACCCTTGCCTTTCGGCCAGCCATATCAGCTATGGCCGGAATTTAATCAGTGCGATCCGTCTGTGTCAAGGAGACAGACCCCGATAGCACCATTTTCGTATTTACAGTATATGGGTCGTGCACCTTTTTACCAGGCNAAATTTGTGGTCTGTATATGAGTGCATGCAGAATGGATTTCCACACACGTAAAACAACATAGATGCATTACACAGAAGATGGAAAAATTTAGTAGGGAATGCTCAGTTTGGTGTATATTGAATCATTGAAGAATTTCAAAAATGCATTGCCACGTAGAAAATGAATATAAGCATATTCTCCAAAGAAAACCATGCCCTAAAAGGAAAAAAAGCAAATACTCATTGCAAAACAAGACTTCAAAATATAGTTGATGATCATGAAAGTCGGTTGGCACTTATGAACTACCTTTGTGCAATTGCCCATAATCTTTCCATGTAATATACTTTTTGTTATGTTGATATTTTTATTTTCTTCCTCACTATTTAAAATTTTCAGTATTGATTTTTATAATTTGTAATTCTATATATTTCAACTATCAATAGTTGATATAACTTGCAATGCTCAGGTTATGTTAAAACATCAAACAGGTATGAAAACTATATATGCTTTTATGAAAGTGATATATTTGAAGAGACAATGCAAGCAGAATGGATTTCCACACACCTAAAACAACATAGATACATTACACAGAAGATGGAAAAATTTAGTAGGGAATGCTCAGTTTGGTGTATATTGAATCATTGAAGAATTTCAAAAATGNTCAAATTACAGTAATACTGTAATTAATTTTTGAAAATCATGCAATTATGGTTCAATAAATCCAGAATTATTTCAATTAATTGATGCAATATGCATCAATTAATGCAATGTCTGAATGTGTAAATTATATTTAAATATAATTTTGGATATGTTTCTTTATATAAGTTTTATTAATAAATTTCATATTAAAATAAAAACAACCACTAAACAAAGCATTAATTACACATTCCAAAATAACTGCGAAGCGTAATAAGATTGGTGCATTATATTTAAATTTCATATTATACATTTACTGTATGAATTGAAATTTAATAATAATAAAAAAAATTTATAGTAAAAATCCTTTCAAAATCATATCTATTTAATATATTTTTTAATTGTTTTTAAAATAAATAAACTTTTACACAAATAAATACATTTTAATTTTCTTCTTAACTTGATTATTGGCAAGTTTTACTAAATATATAAAATAATTCAAATTTTTTGACATTTTAAAGAATTGTCAAAAAATTTGTGAAATGTTTTAGTACTTGATTTGTCTTTTGTTCTTGTCTTCAATTATCAGAAGTAAGCACAAGATTGCTTAAAAGAACTAATCACTCAGGAACACCACAAAGATAGTTTATACAAGTTTTATTGTTTATGAAGCACAAGCCTTTTAGACTATATATCCCTCATCAGTCCTTTATTATTCAACATTAATGTAAATGGTAAGAATTACATGTGTTATAATTATACAGGTGACAACTGGATTCTTAGATATTATAAGATAACTGTAAATTATAAAAAAAAAATTGACAGTCCTGGCTATACTTGTTACTCCCCTAGTATATTTCACAAGAAACACTTAAATCTTGAATATTTATTTACTACAGATTCAAGGGACATTTGAAGCTTAATGCTGCATTTCCAAATTTGCTACTTGCAAGTAAACTTTGTTTGATTGCCCTGTACAGTACTTTTCATAGTAAATAGAATTAATGAAAAAATTACTTAACATAAATGATAAATATAATTGTTATAAATCACTAAAAAGTAATAGGATAAAGCTTATAAACTTTTTAAAAACTTTGGATAAACTGCCAGTAAAGAAGTTCTGAAAAATATATTTTAGTTTTAACAACTAACTCTAACTTTTAGATATTTATATAATTGTTTTATATTTAGTAAATATTTAATTAAAATACTTTATCTTAACGTTAATTTTGCACTTTAACTTAAATTGTATTAATTTATTTTATTAGTCATTATCTGAAGATGATAGTTTAATATTTATAAAGTCACCAGAACATCCTGTAACTAGTAAAGGTAGCAGTCTAACATCTCATCCAGGCCGAAAATTTGTCATGGATTTTTTACGTGTTATTATTGTTGATAGTTTATCATTACCTGTTACAACAAAACAGGCACCAGTTATTGATATGTTATTAGAGGTATGTTTTTTTACTTTGAGTCAAGAAAAATATATTTATGCAAAAACTTATTTGTATTTTTTAAAATTTCCAGGCTGCTCCTTCTCATTCTTCTCATGTACAGCAATGCGAATTTCAAACTGAAGTGTTATCATCCTTAATGGAACATTTATTAGCTGCAGACGTGTTGTTGGGAGAACAAGCTGCTCTTCCTATTGCAACTGGAGGAAGCTATTCTTATATTACTCCAAATGTTTTCTATTTTACAAGTTGTTTAGTTGATAAACTTTGGCAAGGTAATTAAAATAATAATAAATTATTACAATAAACTTAGCATTTAGAATGAATTAATTAGCCTAATAAATAGGTTGTAAAAAATTGAAGAGCATATTACATCAGGGGCTGACTGTCAGCCCCTGATGTGATAAGCTCTTCAATTTATTACAACCCTATTTATTAGGCTAATTAAATAGTCTATTAGCGTTGGTCAGTAGTAGTCCAAATTTAATACAAACATTTGTTTTTTGAAAATTTGATCACGATTTAAATACAGTATTTACTTTTAATATTACCGATATTTCATCGAAAAGAAAACGTGTTGTATTATCATTAAAAGACAAATTAAAGTATTTGTTTCCATTATCCGGATTTTTCCTTATCTGGACTACCTTTATCCCCAATTAGTCCGGATAATCGAGGTTCTACTGTATTTGATTTTAACTTCTATGTATTAATGTAATAATTAATACTCAATATGTGCATATTATGCACAGTGCACCTACTGACTATTACTGTTGTTAAATATTTTATTGTATAAAAGGGACTACAAAGTGTTCTCTCACATGTTTATATGTTTCTCAAATAAATTTGAATTAAAAATGTAAATAAATGTCTTTTAAAGATTTACTATTATTATTTTTCCCAGGATTATATTTTCGAGATTTTAATCTTTCAGGATCTCAACATCCGGGATTATGATCAGCACCACTTTTAAAAATTTTGTAACTACTATGTTTGCAATTATTAGTTTTGCAGATAGTATTAATTTTTTAAGTTGAATTTTCATTGTAAATTATTAATAAATAAAACCAAATATAACAAGAATTATTAGACTGCTTTGCAAGCTTATTATTTCCATTTAACACAGTATCAGTGATATCCAGTCTCTGTGAAGAGAGCATTTAGATTTAGATGGCAGGAAGGTCATCCGGCTTTACAATGTAAATTGTAGAGCTGGATGCCCTTACTGCCATTAACTCTCTTTTTATTCAGAATTATTGAACTCTGGTTGGGATCAACATCCTGATTGTGTGCCATGCCTAATGAGAATACTATCATGTCAAGCTGCTGACTTTATTGATTTGATAAGAACCAATGTATACAGTAAAATTAAGATTAACTATTGCTTTTTATAAATTAATTATAAATGTAACAATTAATCAAGAATATATAATAATAATTATAAGAATTAACTAATTTTCAAATTACAGTAATACTGTAATTAATTTTTGAAAATCATGCAATTATGGTTCAATAAATCCAGAATTATTTCAATTAATTGATGCAATATGCATCAATTAATGCAATGTCTGAATGTGTAAATTATATTTAAATATAATTTTGGATATGTTTCTTTATATAAGTTTTATTAATAAATTTCATATTAAAATAAAAACAACCACTAAACAAAGCATTAATTACACATTCCAAAATAACTGCGAAGCGTAATAAGATTGGTGCATTATATTTAAATTTCATATTATACATTTACTGTATGAATTGAAATTTAATAATAATAAAAAAAATTTATAGTAAAAATCCTTTCAAAATCATATCTATTTAATATATTTTTTAATTGTTTTTAAAATAAATAAACTTTTACACAAATAAATACATTTTAATTTTCTTCTTAACTTGATTATTGGCAAGTTTTACTAAATATATAAAATAATTCAAATTTTTTGACATTTTAAAGAATTGTCAAAAAATTTGTGAAATGTTTTAGTACTTGATTTGTCTTTTGTTCTTGTCTTCAATTATCAGAAGTAAGCACAAGATTGCTTAAAAGAACTAATCACTCAGGAACACCACAAAGATAGTTTATACAAGTTTTATTGTTTATGAAGCACAAGCCTTTTAGACTATATATCCCTCATCAGTCCTTTATTATTCAACATTAATGTAAATGGTAAGAATTACATGTGTTATAATTATACAGGTGACAACTGGATTCTTAGATATTATAAGATAACTGTAAATTATAAAAAAAAAATTGACAGTCCTGGCTATACTTGTTACTCCCCTAGTATATTTCACAAGAAACACTTAAATCTTGAATATTTATTTACTACAGATTCAAGGGACATTTGAAGCTTAATGCTGCATTTCCAAATTTGCTACTTGCAAGTAAACTTTGTTTGATTGCCCTGTACAGTACTTTTCATAGTAAATAGAATTAATGAAAAAATTACTTAACATAAATGATAAATATAATTGTTATAAATCACTAAAAAGTAATAGGATAAAGCTTATAAACTTTTTAAAAACTTTGGATAANCCCAACGGGAGATGAGATAACCTTCTGGGGATTAGCAAGTTTTCATCACAACCTTAGTAATCCGCATAGATTAGAAACACAGGATAATAGACAGAAGGAAAGGAATCAATGCGGTAGGTTCGAAGAAAATTCGCCCAGTTTAGACAAAGTTAGCGAAGAGCGGAACAAGTTTACTAAAAGTAACAAATATAAAAGAAAGAGGAAAGGAAACCGAGCGCAGATAAATAAACAGAGAAGTAGTTTAGAAACTCGAAACCACAGAGCAACAGTTAGAAAAAACAAAAGGAAAGATGACACTCGGAGTGATGTCACGTTGTTAAACGATTGCGTAGTTCCCCCGCGATCGGAAGTCATTGTGGAAGGAAACGTGAGAGGAGAAGTCGTTGACCAAGTAGGTGTAGTCGAACCTTACACTTTGGATAGAGAAGGAGCGTTTATCGCCGGTGTCTTAGTGAAAACACAACATCGCGGTAAAATACCGATTAGGATTATGAATGTGTCCACTCAACCTATAAAATTAAATAGGGGAAGTAAGATAGGTACCTTTTTTAAGGCGGAAGAAGAAACAAAGGAAATGGGAAAACGAAACAATGCATTGCCATCTAATGAAAAAGAGCTGACTAGAGCGCAGGTAGCTAATCTATTCGATTTAANAGGAGCGTTTATCGCAGGTGTCTTAGTGAAAACACAACATCGCGGTAAAATACCGATTAGGATTATGAATGTGTCCACTCAACCTATAAAATTAAATAGGGGAAATAAGATAGGTACCTTTTTTAACGCGGAAGAAGAAACAAAGGAAATGGGAGAACAAAACAATGCATGGCAATCCAATGAAAAAGAGCTGACTAGAGCGCAGGTAGCTAATCTATTCGAATTAAGTGAAGTGGGGAAGGACAAGTTGACTCCTTTGCTGGACTTGTATAAATACAAACAGGTGTTTGCAAAGGACGATTTCGACTTGGGATATTGCAATTTGACCGAGCATAAGATAGATACAGGTGATAGTCCCCCACTCTATAGAGCTCCGTATCGCATTCCATATGCACAGCGAGAAATTATGGATAAATTAATAGAGAACATNGTCCAGTCGACTTTGTCGTCCAACATATCCTTACGGGAAAGAAGTTACACACACATGCAAATAGAATGAAACCTGCTGTCGCGCGAATGGAGTTTAAATCCTTCGCCGCCGACGAGATTAGTCGGGAGACAGAGAAATCCGAAAAATCAGTCCCAGCACCACAAACACCTGAAATAATAGACCCCTGGGATGAATTCATCCTAAATTCGATACAACCTGATCAAGTAGAGTCAGCGGAAACTGTAGAAATTAGTCAGCACGCGATCGCGACACAACCGTCGCACAGATATGCATTGAGGAGTCAGGGACCCGCAGACGAATATCCTTGGGTACTACCCACAACGCATAGGCTAGGGCAAACGGTGGAACCTCTTCACCGAAACACGGAAGGGGGAGGCGCGTCAACGTCCCAAAATCAGAATCAGGAACGCTTGCCGCCACCTACCCCCGTAGGACTATTTACTCANAGAGTATATTGTTTGGGTTCTTATAGTTTTATCTCTTATCCCATTGTTAGCATATGAGCCTTAACATTACCACCAGAGTACGTTTGAGCCAAATTCTGGATAAGGTTTCTATAGTAACCTGTTTTATAGCAATGTATTCAAACTGTTATAGTCATTTGCCATTTTAGTAAAATCTGTACAATGGGTAAAGGGTCTTTTTGTAAGAGCTCTAAAAGCAGTTATTTTGTATACATCAGATTATTGGAGCTTGCAGATATAAATAATGGTGGGTGTGATGGTTTGTAATATAAATTTGGATGAATATTTTAATTTCTATTGTTAATTTTAAGATCCAAAAAAATGTACCATTTAGTTGTTGGCATGGTCTAATTTAATACAGTCCATTAGGATTGTCATTCATTTGTTGTATGAAGCCATTTATATCTGGTTTTATTTTCATATAATAAAGATATCTTCCACATATCTTTTCAACATAAGCATACATGGTAGAGTTGATAAAATCATTTTTCCAATAATATTATATCTGACAAAGGACTCCAGACAAAAGGCTATCCACAGGTGCCCCTCTCTTTTCAACATATGTCTTGTAATCATAGTGAAAAAAAGAGGAATAGCATGAAATATGTGCTTAAATCAAGATAAATTTGCAATTGACTTGCTTATTGCTTTTATGTAATAAATGTCTAAGAGGGCAAAAATTTGTTGTAATTTGTATTAAGTGGCATACAGGTACAGTATAAAGTCTAAGACTGTAATATAAACATCTCCTATAAGTTGACTACCACAAATCATCAATTATTTTCTCTGTTTTACTGATGGATAATCTATAGGTTTTTAAATAATCTTTAAATAGACTATGAATAGCATTTTCTAAAAGGCAAGTACGCAGCATGGCATTACAGTTCATATAGTGTTGCCTGATTTATGGATCTTTGAGAATGCAAAAAGTTTAGTGGTATTAGCAGAATTTGCCATTACACTACCTAATTTTAAGGTTCATAAAATCTAAATCCAATAAATACAACACCAAAGCTATGTATGTGTGCTTGTGAACCCACACAGACTTTATAATTATAATCATTAACATTATATCAATAATAATACTTAAACAGTAATTACAAAAGATAATTAAAAGTAGGTAAATACATTATATCCTTCTCAGAATTTATACAAAGAATAACTCTATAATAAAAATATTGTGGAATTAAGTG